CCGGTCACCAGCACCTCACGCAACGAGAATGACGACGCGCTCCGGATATTTTTATTCATCCCCACTAAAATTCTATATTCTTTCGAGGCTTCTCTCTCTCTCTCTCTCTTTCTCTCTCTCGCACACGTTGCTGCTTTGATCGCTGCACACTTGTGCGGTTGTCTCGTATGTCTCGTATGCGCGCGAATATATTTATGCATTTTTTAACACGTCAAATTCTGAACCTAATTTACTCGTATCTGTTTTTTTTTATATACAGGGTGTTTCAAAAGTGGAAGTCAATCGCTCGGAAGTGGATTAAGGATCCAAAAACAACGAAAAAGGTTGATTTGAAAAGAAAAAACATAGATTCGGAAATGCTTGTTTTCGAGTTGTCGCTTTTCATGTTGAAATTTCAAATTGCCTCGCTTCCAAATTTTTTCGTCAACATTGGAGAGGAGAGATAGTCTTCATGAATTTTATAATATAAATAAATTATTAATTAAAGTTAAATAAAAGTTACGGGCTAGTTTAGCACTACACAGGATATATCACGTGGAGATATAGCCGACTTAATATCTCTTGGCAGAGATCAAGACTTTACAATTGTGCATCCTGAGTAGCTAAAGTAGTTCGCAACTTTTATTTTTGACTTTAATTGTTAATAAAACTCATAAAGACTATCTCTTTTCAATTTTAACAAAAAAATTCAAAAATAACGCAATTTCAAATTTCAACGTAAAAATGACGATAACTCGAAAATAATTTTCGAATATATTTTCAAACTTACGTTCATATCAACTTTCTTTCTTTTTTTTGGATTTCCATTCATCTCCCGAGTGATTAATCTCGATTTAACATGGAACAGCCTGTTCATTTATTTAAATTTACATTTAATTAAAAACAAGAATATATTTATACGTGCTCTTTTTATTTTAGAATATTACGTCGATATTAATTATAATTAGGTAATTATAAATATCATTAGTAACAAGTTTCGTCTATTTTTACGTCATATCGAGTCTAATCACGTCTCGGTCTCTGTTGATGAACGCTCCACCATGTGTGCTAATCGACAGTAAAATCTAAACGATCTTTGTCCACGTGCGATCATCCTGTGTATATTTCTATGGATTTAACCGATCCTTTATATTTGATTTGCAGCGTGGAATGATAAATGGTAGCCACCAGCAGCATGGTATATGAGGAGATAGTCGGTATACGGGGCAGCTGACCCCAGCCACCGCGCACGCTTTTCACGCGCGAGATGCCCCACAATCTAAACTCAGTTTCTGCCAACTCCGCCAATACGGGACCGAATCATCAAGCCTATCCCCAGCAACCGTACCACCGGGAGAACGCAGATGGACTCCAGCCCGAGGTAACGCGGCGTCGATCGATCACATCGATACGTCTGTGTCGAGTGTCTTGGATATTGCGAGCTGATAACGCAGCTTCCGACGCGTTTTATGAGCCTGCCTTACCGAGCTGTGGCTCTTTTCGTCGTTTTCTTTGAGGAGAAATATTTCATACGCTGACCGCGTTCAAGAGAACTTATTCTTGACAAACTGTACCTCTAATCGATCTTTTATAAGAAAAATTATAAGAAAAAGAAAGAAAGAAGAAGAAAAGAAAGAAGTAAAAATCGAGAATAAAAATAAAGGATCGTAAAAAGGCAATTAAGTAATAGAAGCCTGATAGTTATAAAATAGTTACCGTAAAGAAGCCGTTACAAGCAAAAAATCACAGTGTTTTGTTAATTCTTAAGTAAAATTTAAAATATAAATCTAAGTGAGATCTAAGATCCTGAAAAAAATTCGTGAAAAAAACGTATATGATTATCCATCCTTCAGAAAGAACCGGTGGAATTCGACACGTCGCATCTGCGAGGTGCCCCAGCGGAGGTCGAGGCGTTGGTACACAACATCAAGGAAGTCGCCCAGCAATTCCTCTACCATTGGCGAACGTTCCCAATCGTCCTACCCCCGCCGTTGTCCTCGTGCACCGAGGGGGAGGATACGTTGGCGCGAAAGAAGTACCATCTGAGGGATCTCTTCGTAGCGCCCAGCTTTGACGAGCTGGACGCGGTCGCCGTGGACAGCAAGGGTGAGCCCAGAAGACTGACCAACAAGCAATTGGAGAGTATCAGGGAGCGGGGGTAGGTGTTCCTGTCGTAGAACATAGCGAATATAATATCGATTTCTCCCTTACCTCGTTTGACGATCGACGATAGCTAGTCATTTTGTGTAATTATCGTAGAGACAGTAGTTAGGCAGTAGAGAATGAAAACAAAGGATAGTAAAGAAGAGAGCAATGTATTTACAACAATTACAACGTAGCTGTAACGAATGAATATATGTATATCTGCGTTCGATTATCGTTAAATTGAATCGCGAGCGAACGCGAGAGTTCTCCCGGAACGAGACTTATCGAGGCCGCGTTTGCGTTAAACACGCGGAGTAAATAAGGCGACCCCTTGCTTGAAAATGCGTCTATGTATCTGATATGCTCTAACGATTTCTGTAAAGCTTACACAAGGATAAATATGGAAAGCCGAAGAAGCTGAATGCCACTCAGTTGGAGAGCATTCGAAGATGCGGGTACGTGTGACACACTTGAGCGACAACGCTCAAGACAATATAAAGGACAATGTAAATGTTTAAACAAACAGGTTGATCAGGCAAAACGAAATCTTGTATAGCGACGTCGGGACTGACTAACAACTGACCGTCTAACTTTTCCCTCGCGCGGGAACGGTGTCGCGTTCACAGCATGACCTCTCATTCGCACCGCTATTAACTTATTTTAAACGCCCAACGAATCATCATTTGCGGAGCGTTGACGAGATAAACGCATATTATGCGTATAACTCTTTCGCACCACTGGAGATTGGAATTGGAGATTGGTGTAACATCTTTTGCAACGTGTACGCGTTTATTGTGATCGCATGAGCACTCGATTTGTACAGGCTGCATATTCCCAGTACTGTTTAGCCTTTAAGTTAAGTTTGATTTGTACATACAATGTAAAAATAAGAACCACGAGTTTTATTTAGCGAGTCACCGTAGATGTAGTCAAGCGTAATTTAGCACGGATTAGCAATTCAGCAGTCGAATAAGTGTACCTGGTGAAACCGTACTAGAAGCAAGTAGATGTTACACGTCGTAGATCACTTTGAGACGGGGAAACGCTATCCTTATTTTGATACAATATTTTCTTACCATCCCAATTGTTTTCTTTTTTTTTTTTCTGTAGGATATGGCGCTTTGTATGATTTCGGCCGTCGCAAAAATCGCTCGAGAAACGTTTTACCGTCGCGGCTGACCGACGATTCTTCTTGCAGAGAGTTCGAAGTGGACTCGATCAACTTCGCCGGGCAGACTCACCGATGGCGATTGAGCGGTCTCCTGCAGCGCGGCCGGGACAGACGGCGGGACGCGTTGCTCACAGATCTCGCCCTGGCGACTAGGTTTCTCGTTGTAACGGCAAAGGCTAGATTAGTTTCCCATTGCTTCAGTGTTTCACAATCCCTTAAAGCCCTATTAACGGGGCTGTTGCGACTTCTCGGTGAGCAGTTTGCGTCCTCCGCACGCTTATATGTGACGTCTAAACCGCACGTCCGCATTACCGACGCTGCATCATACATATATATTACGTGTATATACATATACATTGCGTGTTACATTTGTATGCATCTTGCAGACATAATAATCGGCGTACCGTCGCTCCAGGCACACAATCTAGACGCTAAAATTAGGGAGGAGCGCTGCCGGTATCTGGTGGCGGAATTGGTCTGCAGGGTAAGACAATTATTTTCATATTCCCCGCGAAATATGATCTCGAGCGCGTGAATCACATTGTGATTATTTCTCATAGCCGGAATATGAAGACTCTTTGGAGCTACTTTGTGGATTTATACGGAAGCAGCTTCGTCGGGCGACCACGGAAAAGTTCGAAGTGGAAAGAGAATCGTCCCAGCTGTTGCCCGTTTCAATTCCTTTCGTATTTGGGACACCGGGCGGGGCCGCGGTTGATCTCAGATTGTTCAGTAGGGACATAATCAGGAAGGCTCTGCCGACGCTCGTTGCGATTCTGGAGAGAGAGACAAGAGGCTGGTTCCTTCACTTTAGAGAAAGACTGATATCCGAATTGAGAGCACAAAAGAAGCCGGACGAGGAAATAGAACGAGTAAGAAAATATTTTATATACATTTATAAAAAAAAAATAAATCTATTATATACATATATTTTTAAATGTATTGTTAATTAATATTTTTAGGAAGTTAACGAAGCGGTAATGCGCGAATATTTACAAAGAGTGTATTCGAATATCTTGTCACATCCGGACATACTAGCACTTGGCGAGGGTATCGCTCAATTGCTAGTTCAACAGGCGCAATCGGTCGTATTGATGCACCGAGCGGTGGAGAATGTGCAACGGAAGCTATCGCAAACCAAAGAATCTCTGCGACAACGTATCGAGAGCGAACATCCGGTTCTGTCGCGGATACAGCCGTGGATGCGCGATCGCATGCGGGAGGCCGAGGAGAATTTTATCGAGGAGTGCGAATGGAGCGCACATGAGGAGGCTCTCGCGCTCTGCAATCATCAGAATCTCACTCAGACCGTATACTTCCTCAATCGCGATTTAACTTTCATGAAAGAGGTATCTAATGTCCGTTCTTAAAATCCTGTTATCTCGAGACTTGCTAGAAATCCGAATTTGTTTGTTTTAGAGAGAGCCAGTCCTGTTAAAAGAATTGCGAAAGGTGAAAACGCCGACGAGAACTTTCCAATGGCCGACGCAAATTTGGTTACCGAAGAACTGGATAATAAGACGCAATTTCCAAGGTCAATCCGAGATAATACCAACCGTACTCAGCAATACTCCGACTTCTATTACGACGCCTCGCGCTGATCCCAGCCAGCCTGTCTTCTTGGTTGAAAGAGAGATTGTACACACAACTACAACAAGGTATCTCAATCAGTTTAACTACTATTCATATCTTAATGTTCGGCATCCTAATAATTTTCTGATATAAAAGGTGGCCAATGTGGCGTTGGATAAATTACATCGCCAGAACATGGTGTTGGACTTGGAACGCAATGTTTCTGTTGGGTGTAGCTGTACCATGGTGCAGTCCAGTGTCTTTCCGCGCTTTACTGCTGGTGCAACCGTTTACTCCTGATCTGGAATTGAGTCAACTAAATGGAACATTGTTTCCAAGAAAATCGTCACAAATGCCTACACTTTGTTCCCGACTAATAGCGCTTTGGAGACACATCAGTAAAAGCCGAACGCATTTTGAGACTGAACCAGACACAGGTAAAATTTTTCTCTTGATCATGCTCATGTTTTGGCAACAAAATATAAGACTGTCGGATTTTGAATATTGATAATAAAATACGCTAAGAACAATGATATTTTTTAGGATTCATTGGTAAAGGTATGACCAGACATCTTAACAGGCTGTGGAACTACGGTGCAAAGGGTCTATTGGGCACGCTTATCATCTTGTTTATATTTCCCGTAATATGTGTTTTAGCGAGCGTTAGTTCGTTAATTATTGCTCTCACTGCGATCCTTTGGTTAGTTTTTAATATAATTCTCTGTCCATTTTCTTTGAGTAGAATATAATTAACTTATTGGTCATTTTAGGATGCCTCTGATCACATTGACGCTTCATGGATTCATGGCACTCATTATGGATCTGGATAGTCCTGAGCCGAGCCGCAATCGATATCTCGTAGTGATGGAAGCGTTGGTTTGGAACATTGGTATTCAAGGTTGCCTGCAGCCAATAGCGGCGTTATTCGTAGCCCTTGTCCTGTGTCCGATCATCTCATTCGTGATACTTACAAGTGAATACTTAGAAGTGAACGCTAAATTTTATTAAATAAAATCACGAAAATATATATTCGAAATAATTCTATTTTAGTTGCTGTGATACGTTATTGGGTTAGAGTATTCTGGGATACAGCCATGTTCCATCTAGTGATCAAAAATAGAGGACGAATACCAGCGAGCGATAGCTTCGTAGTAAAGAGAATAGCTGGACCGGGACTAGCTTCGGATTATTATTATCAAGTAAGTACATTACATTGTTACGGGTGAACATCATCTGGAGAATAAGGTGAAATTGAAATTATATATTCTAAGAAACTAAAATTATATATTCTTGGCAGATAAGAGCAGAACAAGCGTTGGCCGCGTTCGAAGCAAAATTAGAATTGGACGAATTGTTGGCGTTCCAGCAAGAGATCGAGAGATTAATTACTCAACCGCAGAGAGATTTCACTCAATTTGTTGAAGCCTGTTTCGGTCCGTTCGCCGCTAGTCTCGCCAAGACAAAGGACCCGTACAAATCGCTCGAGAAAGAAGCCAAAGATCTAATCGCCGTATTACATGAGAAATTGGACCGACGAAGAAAAAATTTGCAGACGGGTCTCGGCGTCGCAGTGAGGAGTAAGATAAAATTGACCACTTTTGACTTGAAGGTACTTGTTTCTCATAAATCATATGTGATTTTATATTTCATTTAATATTCTAATTTCGTTTGTATAATTTGATCATGATACAGTTAAAATGATATTATAGGTAGTCATACAGCAAGGCGCGTTGATGTTGGAACGTCTCTATCCCACTCACGTTTTCGCGAGATTGCCTGGCAATGAAGAAGACTTCTGGGAAAACAAAGGTTTAGGAGTATGCGATTGGGCGGGTCTGGCAGGGCTTATGTATGCCGATATCTTTAGTTTGGACTTCCTACAACCGCTCGACGATTCCGACACGAAATTCAGATTGGAGCCACATCCAGGAGTCGATCTGTCACGGTACACGGATATGGTACACAGTACCGAGCTCGGTGGCATTAATGGACCCGATTTACTCGGCGCTGTTTACGCACCACGCGGAAACATTCAAGTTCATAGTCCGTATCTCGAAGTGTCCGCTTTTAACCCGAGAGCTAAGCAAGCTAGCAATAGCAGAAAATCCGACAAGCGATGGTAATTATCTCTCAGTCGTATTATAAGCAATTTTCTCAGATATCCATCTAAAAGTACGATGTTATTCAGTGACACCAGCGGCCTGCTGACGTCGACAAAGATCCGAAGGCGCACGATGACGAGCGAAAATAACTCGGAAGGACGGTGGCAACCATGGAAACGTCAAATCCATCCGTACAGCGCGGAGAAATTGGTGATTCCTCTGCCGATTCCGCATCCGGCTCACATAGCAGTGACCATCCACAATCGTGACTCGGAGGATCCAATTCCGCTCGACTCGGAATTGTGTCAGAACATTTTGCGAGCCATCGAGGAATCGCCCGGGGAAATGGCGACGGAATACGTCAGCCGATACAGAGGCGGCGGCGGCGATTCCAGCTTCGATTCCGTTGCATCGCAGTCATCAATCTCAATCGATACCGGTTTGGACAAAGAGAATGAAACGACTCAGGAGACCGCCGCGGCGAACGCGAACGAGAAAGAGAGTGAGACCTACCACTGGACCCTATCGAATTGGGGCGGTGGTATGACGCGAAGACGGAACAATTCTGGATCCATAAAGGTCGATCTTGCGTCACCGGAGGACGTCACCCTCGACACAGATACCACCAGAGTGATGTTCAGCACGTACGGAACAACTGTCTAAATTAAGTACACCGTTATATGCGCCGAATAAAAATGGTTATCTCGTCGTCGCGTTTGTAGATGACGTTAAAAAAAAGATAAAAGAAAAAAAAAAGAAGAAAAGCTCCGCAACTTTAGCGAACCTGATCTTAGAGAACAGCCTTTGCCATCCAAGATGACGCGATGCAATATTAAATATTCGCATAGCCACCTTCAGCTAGAAGTAATGCGGATTAATCTTAAATATATAGAGTTAAGTGTTTGCCAATGGATTCATAATTTTAATCACAAGTGCAAATTTGAAGCGAAATCTTCGAGGGAAGAGCACGTTTTCAGATTAATTGTCCTATAAATACATATATATTACAATCGAATGATTATCGATGAATTATAAATTATTTATATTGTCAAAAAATTTTATCTAAGAATCCGTTAGGCAGATATTATTCAAAGTTACATGTTCGGTACCGGAAGATACGAAACTTTGATTATTGAACAGATATTTAACGAGGAATGCTGAGCGATTAAGATTCCAAGATTTCGTTATTACAAAGTCGGAATTTTTAAGATTATGAGAAAGAATACACACACACACACACACACACATACACACACACACACACACACATATATATATATAGAAGAGAGAAGAAAGAACAAAGGATATTCCAGATTTTAGTGTAGCAGATAAGATTAGGTCTCTCTCTTTAATATTACGTTAATTAAAAACGAATGCGACATTCATATTGATACACTGTATATAGATAGCTAATTGTATAAAAATAAACTTGTTAATGTAATATTACTCCGAATAAAATTTTCTGTTTATGACGGGGGCTAAACGGTAATAAGCCGGCGAAGAGAATATATGCTTGCGATTGTTCAATCGTTTAACATTTAAAATACGACGTATATAGCTATATATTGTAAGCATGCGCTTGCGACGATCATGTCACTGCGAGTCGACTCGCAGAGTGAATTTCAGTCGCGAAGGTAGTCCAAGCGCTATCGATTACGTTAAATTCGACAATGTACAAGCGTAATTCGATTATCATAAATATTAACACCCGTGTAACTTATTTGACGAATACGCCCCGAACAGGGAAAATACTTTAATGTCCCTCCAGCGTCTCTCTATCTCAGTGTACATTTTATTTTACTAATAAAATTGCAATAGATGTTAGCATGGAATCTCGAGATTGACTCCGAACGGCAGCGCGCCGTTCGTACGATAGAAAAAGAGAAATGAAAAATCGTATCGAATGTATTATCGAGACAGGATAGCGAGATACGGCGACGCGACGCTGACTAACTCCAACGCTATTCAGACTCAATAAAAATTTACTGTAATACAAAATGCATTTTCCAACCTTCAATTTTTTCGCGAAATATTCAAAAAATCTTAAATAGGTAAAACAAGTTAATAATCGAACTGTTTCATCGAATCGCATATTTCGTTCCTTCAAATAATCAATCGCACATTTTCGCCTGACTTCCCCTGAAAAGTAACGTGAAGTCAGAGATTTTCTAAGCGTTATTTCAAGCGTTCTGAATGCAGCTGCGTGCAGGAGCTTATAAAAACATCGAGTTCGAAATAAAAAGTTCGAAAAAAAAAAATAGGATTTTTTACTGGACGAGAAACCTAGCGTCGAGGGACGTGCGCCGTTCGTGCGCAAAATTCGGACAAGGGTAATGAAATCGAAAGTTATTAGTGAAGGGGGCTAGGATCATGAGCACGGAATGAAATATCGCAAGAGTATGAGGATTCGGCGAAAGCAATAGCTATATATATATATATATATATATATAGTGTGTGTGTGTGTGTGTGTGTGTGTGTGTGTGTTATACGTTGCGCCATATCATTCGAGATGTCGATTAAATTCGTAAGCGCATCGCATGACGATAAATGCTTATTAATTCTTTTTCTCTTTATGTCGCTTTCAATTAATTCATCAAAGATCACATCAGACAAGATCGTAGATAATATTATTCGATCTTTCTTCCGACAATTCCCGCTAGCGAGCTATCGATTTTCTTCAAGAGTGGAGTCTCCAGGAGCTGTTGACGGTAGTCGTATCATCGCCGTATCATCGATCTGATAAATCACAAGAATGATAATCTTCACCTTCGAGATAAGAAAGCGAGAACCGCGAGAATTTTTTTTATCGTATCTTTCTTTTTTTCTCTCGCTCTCGTATTACAATAAACGTACGAAACATAATAATTTCGTCGACGTCCGAGAAAAAGAAACGGCACGAAATTTCGCTCCGCGAACAACACGTGTACGAGGTCCAACGAGGACTGACGATGGCGGGCTAGCGGCTGTGATATTCACGCAGCGCATCATCGCATCGCCTCATGGATGCCTGTTTACACGCGATCAAAACATCAATGACCTTGAAAGCATCGTATCACGTGATCGCGAGGAGGGAAGTGTCGATTGGGCCGCGAAGGCGCGTACTGCATTCTTCGGCCAATAAGAATTGCGCGCGCTGGGCCACAAGGCCGACAGAAGAGAAAACAAATGGGAGGGGAAAAGATAGACAAGAGAGCAAATACAATCTGCAAACGGCAAGAATAATAACAATAATCGTCGAAAACAATAACGATGCGACAAGCATCAATACAACGAATAACGATAACGAGAGCTTGTTGACTAAAAACTTACTCTCAAACTAATGTCACGTGATTGGTCGTTCACCAGTGTATATTCCGAGGCTCTATAATTTCCCTAGTCGATAACCTATCACGTGATAGTGTATCTGAAAGTTTCTTGTCGAAAAGCTCCCGACAACGACGGTGGCGGTGGTGGCGGCGGCGATAGCGACGACGACGACGACGACTACGACGACCACGACGACGACGACGACTACGACGACTACGACGACCACGACGACGACGATCACGACGACGACGACGACGGTAGTGGTGATTGAGACAGTGCCAACCGTGTTGGACGGTGGCGTACGCCGTACGTGTGAGTGCGTGTGTCGTGCGCGAGCGCGGTTGGTCGGCGGCCGCGTTGTTGTATCCAAGATGAAGTCCGACTCGAAACCTTTGTTGACAGCTCAGGCGGAAAAGGCGAATCATTACACGTAAGTAGCGGCCGGCCGAGCCGGGGCCGAGATCGCGGCCGGGGCCGGGCCGCATGCCCAAGTGAGACCAGTGCGATAACTCGCGCGGAGGAGCGCGGTGTATGTCGCGCGCACCGTATATCTGTCGCCGATACCCCGCGAGAGAAAAAGTAGCGAGTGCGAGAGGGAGTGAGAGAAGGACGACGAGCGAGGGAGACGTGTGTAGCGCCGAGTTGGCCGTTTGTGCGCCGGAAAGTACGCGGATCGCCACACACACTCCGAAAGTGCAGTGCGAAGAAAATAAATATATTGTGAGAGAAAGAGAGGGAGCGAGAGAGAGAGAGAGAAAGAGAGAGAATAAAAGTAGAAGGTAACGGTGTGGCTAGAGAGGGAGCAGAGTGGAATAGAGAGGAAGAGAGAGAACGAGCGAGCGAGAGGGAGAGGGAGGTACCGTGCGAACGTGAGAGTGAGAGGAAGGGAGAAAGAGCGAGAGCAAGTGAGAGAGAGAGAGAGAGAGAGACGGACGGGAGAGCCGCGAGCAACGAACGCGGCCTATACGCGACGCGCGCGTCCTACGATCCGCAAAAATATATGTATGAGCGACGGTGACGAGAGAGAGAAAGAGAGAGCGAGAGAGAGAGAAAGATATATAGAGACGCGACGGCGAGGCAGCGTGGTGGCACAGAGCGCGGCAACCCACAGGCGAAAAATAATGTCAAGCACGGTGGATTCACATTCCAGATATTTGAAGGAGTTCCGCGTCGACCAATGTCCCCTCTTCATACAGCGCAAATGTACGCAGCACAGGCCGTTCACATGTTTCAACTGGCACTTCATGAACCAGCGGAGGCGTAGACCGGTGAGAAAGAGGGACCGCACCTTCAACTACAGCGCCGACAATTATTGTACCAAGTACGACGAGACGACTGGTATCTGCCCGGACGGAGACGAGTAAGTTTTCTCTCTCTCTTTCTCCTAATTTTATTTTTTTTTCCTTTTCTTTTCTTTATTTGCGCATCTCGCCGAGTGATCGACGCGGCGCGTCGATTCCGCGTCCAGTGACGTGTTACTGCGTGCGTGCGTGCGTGAGAATGGATACGTGCGTTTACACATGCATACGCGGGGTATCATGGCAGGACGGTTACGGCATTCGCGCGACGTTGTTTCCACTTTGAAAGCGATGTTTCGGGCGGGGGGGGAGGGGAGGGAGGAGAGGGGAGGGCGTCCGATCTCTCTCTTGTATTCGCGGTATCGCCAAACGCCACGCTCTCGCGATATCGATAAGGATACGCGCGATGGTGTGTTACGTGTAATATATATATATATATATATATATATTTCATATAGTATGCATATATACATATATATGAATCGTAACACGACGTACACGTAGCGTTACTATCGCGGCATACGTGTCTCTCGCGCGGCGCACGTACGTGTTTACGTTTCGCGCGCGTTTCCGCAGCTCTTCATCCCCCTCGCGAAGGGAGGCACATTTGCCGTGCGAGTCTCAGCGGGGGAGGTCGAGCGAATGGAAGCAAGAGAGAGAGAGAAAAAAAGGAGAATTCCGCGCGCGCTCGCGCGCGCGTCGTTCGTGCGGAATTGCGTATCGTGTTTTTTCCTCTTTTTCAGGCGTCCGCATGCCTGCCTCCTTCCACCGATCGGTAGCCGCGTGCTACGTCGTACACATGAATTAAGATATGTTTCCGTTGTGTGGAGCGCGCGCCTTAGCTCGAGCGAGCGGCTGCACCTTTCTCTCGTCGGAGGACCTTGCGGGGAGATTCCTTTCCGCGGAATTTTATGCGAAATCGCTTCTCGGAACCCAACTCGGAAGGACGGCCCTTCTTCTTCTCGGTCTAATTAGATTTCCGATCCTCTTCGAGAAAGAGGCAGGTCCTCTTGTAAAGGATCGGGAGAGAGAAAAAAAGAAAGGAAAGAAAAAAAGTATGGTTGATTGTTGACACGCCGCGTGCGGTTTTCGATAAAAGAGCATGAGTCGTCGTTCTCGATGAATTTTTTTCTCGGAGTGAGAAAATTTCTCAGGGAGATTTTCCTTTCTTGACTTCGAAACGGGGACTACCTTTTTGTTCGCGATATCGATTATACATTTCGCCGGAAGCGGTGACATTGTAACATTACACGGTTAATTCCGCACTTTGCGCATAAATTAACATACCATGTTTTAGCCTCGCTACGACGTTTTATCACTTTGTCTTCTTCACGTTGGTAACGTAATACATATACATATACATATACATGCGCGCGCGTGCACCGAAATACACATTCGATTTGCATAAACACGTGGGCACTCGTAATCGACAAAGTTCCATAAGTCACGAGTAAACGGATCATTAAGTTGCAGGGAACGGAATAGCTCATTCACTCCAATTGAAGAAATCGCCTCGATCGTCCTCGATACTCGTGTATGCGACAATTAGTTTCTTCACTTTCGCGCATATCTTTCGCGATAATGATCTAAGAATATCACGAGAAGATCGCGTCTGATATCTCGCTATCTTTTTTCTATAAAAAAAGTTTTGCTGTAAAAAAATCTTTTGGTTTTACGCGGGAAATAATCTCCTCCCGCTGCCCTTAAACGATTACCTGCAAATCGGCTGTAAATTTTTACAGCTATAAACCATGATAGGTATTACGATATTAGGACGTAAATGATTTTTATCGAGCCGATCGTCGAGCACACGGGGAATATCTTCCCCAAAATTCCCAACGTTACGACTTGCCGAACAAAGGAAGCCCACTCTTATCGATTTTCCCTCGCGTACTTGGCACGATGGCACAACAAAGAATTACGATGTATCTAAACCTCATTCGGCTGTTACATGCGTCGTAATCGAGTCATCAAAATTTCATTCACAATTCGATTCCAAGTATCTCGATTTAATCATAAGATGATAGTTTACAATATCATTAATAAAATAAAAGTCGATATTTTTTTCTTGAGTTTTTTCAAATAATTTTTTTGCTTTTCAAATTATTTTATTTTTTATTACGTTTTCCGAATTATTTAATTTTGAAATAAATTACTTGTATTATTTTCTTTTGAAATATCATCGTCTCGGGATATAATCCGCGTAAAAAAAGAAAATTGCACGCGGGAATCCCGGATTAAAACTTAATGTATAATGTATAGTGTTTAATTATTTAATAATTTATTAATAAAACGAAAAAAAAATAAATAAGTGGAAAATATAAATTGAATAGCAATATTTTTAATGTGAAAATAATATGTGTTTAATTGAAAAAAAAAATAAAAGCAGAGTTTTTACAATGGAAGTCTAAAGCACGCATTAAATCGGCAGCGTTTATCATCCGAAGTACGCGCGAGCGATTAGCGTGATCGTTAACGATTGAAAAAGAGAAATACAATAGCGTTTAATATTTTGTTCAGGTTTGATCGAGATCGTAAAAAAAACCCTCTTATCTCATTGAACAGGTGTCCGTTTCTGCATCGCACCGCGGGCGACACGGAGAGGCGTTACCACTTACGCTACTACAAGACGTGTATGTGCGTCCACGACACCGACACGCGTGGATTTTGCGTGAAGAATGGCCCACATTGCGCGTTCGCCCACGGCAATCACGATCTGCGCCCGCCCGTGTACGACATCAAGGAGATCCAGGCGCTGGAGAACCCGGACTCGGATCCTAATTCCTCGTCGAACGGGCCTAACATACTCGACAAGGAGCGTAACCTGATGAACGAGGATCCGAAGTGGCAGGACACGAACTACGTGCTAAGCAGCTACAAGACCGAACCGTGCAAGAGACCGCCACGTCTATGCCGGCAAGGCTATGCCTGTCCGCAGTATCACAACAGCAAGGACAAGCGGCGCAGTCCGCGAAAGTATAAATATCGGTGAATATCGATGTCGATTGATTAATTCAGACGACGGGTAATTTCTGACTGTTAATCGAAGATGTGCGGATCAAGGATTTTTGAACGAATCGAATCACACTCTTCAAATTCACATCGAATCGACAAAATTTTACTTGGAACGAATCGAAGTGTAATAACATAATTGTTGTAAAATTATACATGGAATGGAATGTTTTTTTGGGGTTTTTTTTTGTTTTTTTTGTTTTTTTTTTTTTTTTCTTAAAAAAATATTCGTACTGATTTTGTTAATGAAGATAAAGAAGAATAAAATTGTCAAATAATTAGAGAGTAAAGAAGGTAATTCTCCGCTAACTCGAAAATTGTCAATATATATATAGTTTCGTGTTTGAACCTCCTAGATTCGAAATTTTTGAATAGTTCAGGTTTTCATGAAATCCGAATAGCTTGCACATCTCTACTCTTAAAATGACGATTGCAGATCGACACCGTGCCCGAACGTGAAACACGGCGAAGAATGGGGCGAACCGGGCAATTGCGAACAGGGAGACGCGTGCACGTATTGTCATACTCGCACAGAACAGCAGTTTCATCCCGAGATCTACAAGTCCACCAAATGCAACGACGTGCAGCAAGCCGGTTACTGCCCCCGCGGCGTCTTCTGCGCTTTCGCGCATGTTGACCGTGAGTGTACACTCATCAATCGTACGTAAAACAGTCTTATTATACATTTTGTGAGTTGAATGATGTTGTGCATACATAGAATTCATACACGCGTCTGTCTGGCTGCTTTGACCGTCGCGATTGTCCGCGATTGTCATGGTCGCAGAGATATCCCGAATCGTCTTTCTTCAGCGCGCGGTCGCGCTCGCGAGTTTACGTTTTCGGAATGCACGTAGAAGCCGATTTGATAAATGCTAATCCTAATCGTCAAAATTGTTTCTCAAAATTGATATATTGGGACGTTGGTATGGTGTGTTGATGGAAGCAGTGTTGCCAACAGAAGAAATGAGCCTGGCGAGGGATATGGCGGTACCTATAGATTGTGGAGCAAATCTGGCCGACATACTCAGCAACGCTCTTCCACCCGACAAGCGCTCGCATGACAAGGACAAGCCACTTAGCGATAGCAGCGTGAGTCTCGGCCCTTCTACATATCGTAGATTGCTTCCAAAGACTCGTACAGAAATAGATTTAAAAAAAAGAAGTTGGAGCTAAAGTCGCGAATTGCATGCGATAGGTAGAATTTAATTTACATGATTTGTTGTTCATCAGAAAACTTTTGTATTGATTTTTTGTATTCATCTATCACATGTGAAGATTTAGTCGTTATCAGTCGACCGATTTACAGAATGGAAGCGGCGAGGTCTCAGAATCCGCCAGCACCAGCAGCCTGGGTAGCAACAGTTCGCACAGCAAGGCACCCGGCGCTCAGCTGCACAATTCCAATAATACCAATTCTGGCATAAACACAGCCGCCCAGCAGAAACTTACGAGCATACTGTATAACCCCAATTCTATCATACAAGTTGTAAGTTTTCTTCTATGGATGTTGGCAGTATGACAATACTTATATAACAATACTTTTGGAAACGATTTTATAACCTGATGAATAAATAAATATTGCACATAGATCATTTAGATTTGATTTAACTTAATGTATATTCTACTAAAAGAAATACATAAAATACAATTATATTCACATGACTTTGTTCTATTTGTTCTGAATTTTAGATTTGCTTCGTGAAGTATTGATATATAATTTAGAATCATTCTTATACATACTGTAATATGCTTGATGTTTACGACTGACGTTGATTTCAACAGAATGAAATTCGGAAGCAAATGATCGCCATTGACAGCGATCCGTTATTAACTAAAGCTGAAAAGGCTCAACAGAAACAGAGTCTCTACATCGCGTACAATTTGAATGGAACATTAGGCAGTCACTCATTAGGAACTACTGTTTCACCACTTTCAAATTCGTTCTACTCAAATGATACTGTGGAATCTGTAGTAGGTAAGTGTACACATCACACACACATAGTACGTTTGTATTTATGCAATTCTAACGTGAACTAAACATTCAATCTTTTTTTTCCAGGAAATGCATTAGACGAATTGCATCTGGACGATCCATTAAATTTAGTCGATTCGATGCACAGGGATACAAATTCACCGATCGGCAACTCAATATCGGCAGGCCTAGCTAGCTCTGGTCTACTCGGTAGCTCGGCCCCTGTCAATATACCAGGCATGGCTGAACGTTCTGTTCTTACTAATTTTTCGCCATCAACATCAAGTCCACTACAACAATTGCAGACTGGTTTTCTCACTGGATCGAGATTCTCTCATCAAGATTCCATAGAATCCGTAAGTATATTCTGTTCTCATCCAACGGCATCTTCAAAAAATATTAGCGTTTTACTAACCTGATATTTTTCTTCGGGTTACTTTCAGACATTGCCATTTATGAATCAGATATCAGATCCATTTAGCAATCACATTTCGCAACTTAGCAGTTCGGCTTCTAAACTTAGTGGATTCAATAGTAGTTTATTCGATTTCACGAACCAAGGAATGTCACCGTCACGTACGCAACCTCTACCGGCATCTCCATTGGTCAATGCATTTTCCATTAGTCCAAGTAACACAGGATCGTTGTCCGAGGTTAGAATTGTACGATTTTAAAGAGATTTTCTTCTGTATATATCTCAAAAACAAAAATAAATCGATTACACGTGTATTCGCGCGTATTTCAGGTACAAAGGCTTAGAGATGAATTGACCTCGAGTCGTGCTCAATTGGCAACGTGGGACGAACGTATTAATCAAGCGCGCGCGGCTTGCGCGGCGTGGCAATTGGAAAGCGAAGAAGCAAAGAGAAAGGCGACTATCGCTGAACAGCAGAGGGATGAGGTGAATATTCTGTCTAATTTAGCACGCGCTTTTCTCTTGATATTGAAATCCCAAATTTTGCCATGCTCCAGAGTATGGATTCTTTGCAGGCTCTGATGCAAGTAAAAGCACTCAGGGTCGAAAACGAGGCGTCCAATGGCGGCCCGTATCTTCACTCAGTGAGGCGGATAAGCGAACTCAGATCACTATCGATAGCCACTTTGAAATCAATTCAATCACAATTGCGCTCGGATCTCGAAGAGGTGGAAAAGGTAAAAGCTCTAGTCACTGTTCACAATCCGCCAAAACAGGTGTCGGTATCTTTCAAGCGAGTTGATATGGCTAGGAAAGAAATGACGGAGTATATACATCCTATTGCTGTATCTCTAGGTGCTGTACAGAGAAACGGCAACAAAGTGCATGGTTTGCGAGGAACAGAATCGTACGGTTACCCTATCGCCCTGCAATCATTATGTGGTCTGCTCGACGTGCGCTCCGAATCAGCGCGAGTGCCCGTACTGCCAGACTCCAGTTGTTTCAACAAGTTAGACCCGAATCTTTCCTAGAATCTTGTTATTATAATTTCCGCTTCTCGTACCGTTAAAAAAAAGACGAGGGGGCATGGCAGCCGCAGTACTCT